ATGAATTGAGTAATAGCCTAAGAAAACACCTCTGGTTTGGGTCAGCCTGTGTCCAAAAACATACAAATGCAACCCAGTCTAATCCCTAATTTCACGTGATCCTCTCAAGTGACCACGAGGTTCCAAAGGGGTGTATGTAATTCAGCAACCCCTGCGGGCTCTTGGGGCCTGCTAAGTGTAGAGCCGTGGACGAAGGTCACTTAACTTCAGCCCTTTTATGAATGGAAATCAGCTTTCTAAAGACAACTTGGCAGGCAGGGACCAGCAACAGGCCACTCAATGACGGAGCTTTCTGAGTCATAAAATACTTTTGAAAAGGGGAGATCAAAGCATCCCCACTGCCTATTGAAATCCAATGGCTTCCAAAGCTCCTTACAGGCACCCAGGTTCTCTGGGGAATGGGTCACTGCAGTTGTAGTCTGAAAAGGCCACTCCTAAAGAAAGATACAATGGGGACATTAGGGCAGCCAGCCATGGAGGAGAAATGCCACTTACGGATTAATTGTTGGGGACAAAGGACAGAAAGAAAGGAAGTGACAAAATTGGATGGCACATCAGGAATCGAGGCTGGATGTGGTACACATTCCACCAGGGCCTCTGATGTGGTACTGGGGCTGGATGACAATCAGAGCGTGTCCCAGACTGGAACATGTGGTCACCGGGGGAACATGTCAGGAACCAATAGAGGGCAAATACACTGAGGCCCAAGAATTGCTCCTTCAGGGTGACACACAGAAAGTGGAGATGGTGACATATGAAGTATGGCCTGCAAAGGGGAGGGGTCAAGTTAGAACCAGTCCTATGTTTGGGGATTTCACAGAGCCACAGTTAAAGTGTGAAACGTGCCACAGTCAAATTTGCTTTCAACGTCAAGTTTCCCRTAAGTTGAAACTCTTATCCCTAAAGCCTCCTGCAACAGTTAGAAAGCCACACAAAAGATCCCAGCATCTCTGCGGGGCTTTTCTTATCACCAAACTATGAAGAGATGCCCCTCAAAAAAAAATTTCCATGACCAGAAAATCTGGGAAAAGCCTAGGTTTGAACAGAGTTTTTTTTAAAAAAAAATATGTTATTTAACGTAACAGTGTTTAAAATGGGATTCATGCAGAACTGCTCTGACTTGCTAATATGCTCATGACACTGTAACTCTCCACGAGGTGGCATTTTGGGACTAACGTGACCAGCTCTCCGTTTTCCAGAGGTCATAACCTGTCAGCTCTTTGTTCKGTGGAGCCACAGTTTGGTTCACACTAAAATAGGAACTTCCAGGCCTAAAAGCCCCACGGCATCTTCTCCCTCAGCCTGTAGGCTCTGTGCCCGGCCCTCGCATCCATCTCCATCATTACTGTCCCTCGTGCTCTGCACGTGTCTGGCATCATCACAGAGGCTGATAAACAGTTGTTGGATGAARGAAAGATGACTCAATATCTTTCCAGTAAATTCCAAACACACAACCATTAGGTGCTTCTCAAAGGTGACTATGCATCAGAACCATTTGGGAAATTTAAAATATGCATTTTGCCCCCGCCCCAGCATCGCTTGCAGTTGAAGGACACCACCGTTTTAGCACCTCAAATAAAGCTAGTGGAGTTGACCACACTCTGAAAGTCACTGTTCCAACCCAAAGGATCACCACCACGGTCGAGTATTCTAGAGCAGAGAAATGTCTTAAAGCTCCTAGTACTAAAGAAGAAAGATATAGGTTTGTCATATAAGAAAACAGAATTGAAAACAGGCGAAAATCCTGAGTTAGCTGTGGTTCAACAGGAAGATGACGTCCCCCTCCAATGGCACGGGCTTGCAGAAATGACGACCTCACTGCAGTGGTCAGGGGAGGCTGGGTACAGCAGAAAGGCCAGCAGGTTAATCTGTAACCTGAGATTCTGGGAGAAAGGCTGCGAGTCTCCAGGTGCAGTGGGCAGTGTCGGCCTGGAAAAGGTCTTCGAAATCTGAAAAAATAATCACCTCCAAATCTAATGTTGGCAGGACTCACTTAGGGAAGTTTGTGACTTCTTTTTTATGAGTTATCTCCAAGGAAGTAACAACCTATTCAACTCCTGAATAAAGTGAGAACCGTCAGATGGAGAAAGGGGATCCAAGGTGCATTTCAAGAAGGCATTACAAGCGTTGTAAACATAGATTAATTCTGAAGGCAAATTCCCTGATGGAAAAACTCCCACTGAAGCATGTACACATACCCGAATGTACAAATAGATGCATTTCACTACCATCACCTTCTGCCTTCTCTCATTATCTTCTGGGGTTTCCCTAGCAGTCACCACCATGGCTAGCTTTCCCATGGGCACTTTGCCAGGTCATTTAACGGTGACGTATTATTTTCCTAACACTCACGGCATGCACATGAGCAGAGGGTTATCATCACACCTCAAGGAATCCCAATGCCAGTGGCCCAGCCCCCCCCCCAGCGCTCATGTGCTGGCCATGGAAGTGTAAGCTCCTAGGACCCCTCTGAACAGCTGATTGGCAAGACTCCCTAAAGCCCATTGTGTGTATATCCTGTGACCCAGGAACCTCATTCTCGGGAGTCTCCACAACAGAACGCAGCCACAAGTTCAGCAAAAGGCACATTCAAGAATTTTCTGCAGTGTTCTTCCCAACAATCCCCAACAGAAAACACTTTGATAGTTAACAAGGGGCCAAGTTTGACAACTAAATGGAAACACTGTACAATCTTCATACCCAGAGAGAGCTTATGGTTCTACTTGTGCAAATTTTTTTAAATAAGCACATTAAACTGTTAGAAGTAGGGCAGTGGTGGCCTCTGGTGGGCAGTGAAGGGGACAAGGTGGGTCCTCTGGGGTACTAATATGCCCTGTCTCATCTGGCTGGTGCTTACCTGGGGGTAGACTTTGTGAAAATTGACTAAGCTCGACTCTTCCAATACATGTGTGTTCACGGGTGTCTGGGTATTTTTGCAATTTGGTGGGGCACAGAGGGATGGATAATGACCATCTCCCCTGACAAAATGGGGCCTGCCAGTGTCAATGGACTGGATAACCAGAGTCAGATGCCCAGAGGTCACAGTGATCTTAGAACTCACATTACGTGGTTCACAAATGTAAACTGAAACCTAGTGAACTAAAGTTAATAAGCTAAATCTACGCACCTGCCTTATTGAAAAGTAGAGACATCCCAATTTCTATCAGCCTTTGACCCAGGCAGATTTGCTGGTTAAAAGATGACGTCTGGAACTCACAGTTAAGTGATCCTTTCTCCTTGTTTAAGAGCGAGTCTCTCCCTGATGAGAAACAACCTGACATCCCTTAATGAGAACTKATCTGACCTGTCACTCACAGATGGTGGAATGCTGGGAGAACCAAACATGGGGCCAAGTTTTGCGGGAAAGAGAACAGTGGTGAGCCAGAAGCTACTGTAGCACCTTCTCCATAAGCCATTCCCTCCCACGGCCCTGCAACCCCATCACTCCTTATTCCCATTTCCAAGACAAAGAAACTGAGACATGTACAGGGGTAAGTAACTTGTCTAAGGCCCTACTGCTTCATGCTGGTGTGAGAATTTGTGCTCTTCACTGTGAGTATACAGAATGAGTGTTTAAGCCACTAYGGAACAGTGGCACACACCTGTCATCACAGAGACTCAGGAGGCTAAGGCAGGAAGATCACAAGTTCCAGGTCAGCCTGGGCCACTAGGACTCTGTCTCAAAATTAAAAAAAAATAAAAAGAACTGGGGTAAAGAACCCCTATATTCAATCCCAGCCTTCCCCCCCACCACACACACACACAAGGCACCATAGTGGAGAGCTTAAGCCCCTGAAGATTCTGGAAGAGAAATGCACAGGCAACACCAAAGAACAGCAGGCTCTACACCACAAATCAAACAAAAAAATTCCAAGACACATTCAGGCACGTGTGCACACCTGTGTGTGACCATGCTATAACAAGGTCACTAGTGAGCAGTAGCCACCATTTAAATAGATCCAGCTCAGCTGGGGATGGTTAAATCTTCCTACTTTCAATAAACCATAGACTATCATGACAATGGTGAAGGGGAACGATGATTTTATCTGAATTTCAGGTCACACCGTGGGAGAAAAAGCTGCAAAAATAACAAAGTTTCAACTAGCAAGAACATGGGAGTGACTTGCTTCACGCCCACCCCAGCCTCTCTGGCTTCTGTCATGACCCGCCCTGGACATTACCCACGACATCTTTGGTGGGCCTTCTCAGCTTCCCTCTCCGGGCCACACCAGAGCAAGAGCATGATCACCACACATCTTTCACACAAACCCTTCTGTCAACTCAACACATTGTTACAACCCAAGAGACATTTTTAAATTATGCAACACAAAATGAGAGCCCAGAAAGCCATATACTGCCTCATATATTTGATTGAATCCTGAGAGGTATCATTGACACCAATATCCCTGGCCTTGTGGTCAACAGATGAGGAATACACAGAGAGGAAATGACACTTGCCTCAAATACTTTGAAATGTCCTGCCTCCCTGGTCACCACCCTTAAGAACACACCATGTCCCATTCTAAAAGGATGTCTCCTGTGAGCAGGACACCACAGCACCTGCCTTCAGTGCCGTTGAAGGTTAGGGCTTACCAGGGCTGCTGAATGCAATTTTGCATGGAAATACTGTTTTCCCTTTTCAAAGCAATGTAGACGCATGCAGCTTGTTAGATTTATAGAATGCCTGGTCTCCCAAGACTTCACAAAGCGAATGGCATCCATCAAATTAATTTCCTTGGGAGAGCGTCTCAAACATGGAGAATGAAAAGGCCCAGACCATTAAACATCAAAAGAATGTTCTAAATGGTAATTAAAGTTCTATTATATTTTCTTCTTTCTGAGAGCAGATTAGATTAATTCAATTGAGAATATTATAAGTATCAAAGCTGACAGTGTGAATGTGTGGAGTTGGCTAGAAGAGCACTTCATGTTGYAGACATCTGTTCGCTGAGTTTACAGGACACGAAAGAGGGAGTCGGACTAGACTGGGGTGTACTCACCAAGCCGGCACACGTAGACACAGCCACGGAGGAGGAGCTGTCATTTCTGATAAATCCCTGATAGAAACATCGCTGCACCGCGGGTTCCCGAGTTTCTGAAGCACCGTCTTTTCCGAGTACCTGGACAATAAAGTGACTGCTCAAAATCGCCGAGGGCTTAAGTTCTAAGTGTAGTTCCTGTCCAAATGCTGAAAATCGGTAGTGCAGGGAGCCGCCAGCACTCTGCAGTGATCGTTTATTCCTGCCGTTGTGCAAAATGTCGTGTGAAATATATGACCCGCCCGAGTCCACTTCTACCGGCGTGACAAAGACGTAATCTGCAATGGGAAAAGTTCAGCTGTCAGCACCCAGAGCCCACATTACCAGTGGTCACTCTCCAACAGGCTGGCCAAGAGCAACAGACGGCTCATAGACACCTTCCTTCCTAGTACCACGCACTTAGAGCAAAGAGGCTCCCCAGCAGCTCTGAAGAGGGGGACCTGGAGTCCCTGTGATTAGCTCTGCCACAATACCATCTGAAAAATGAAAATCAACTACAGTTTTGATAAGTTTCAAGAATATGAAAAAGGTCACGATTCTCATGGTCTATAGATGAATTCTTTACATTAGCCACACAGCCATTCATATGGAAGATTTGGGTTTTCTTTTTTTTTTTTTGGTAGGAAGATAAAAATGATCAAAAACCACGAAAGCAAATAAATGGGATTTTTTTTTCCCAAGGAGATTAATAGCTTTGTGCTCAAACTGAATGGAGAGCATTTTTGCAGGGGGGCACAGTTAAACAGTACACGGACACTGCAAGAGGTGGTGTGTAACTTGAGATCGTACCTCAGGTCATTAACAAACAACAGCAGTTTCAATTTCCAATACTATTTACTTGTGATGATAAAACTCCAACACTCAGCTCACTCTTAACATTAAACTATGAGTTTTCACAGGGATGATCCCATTTCATCATAAGCCTAAAAAATAGTGGATGCCTAAAAATGCCGCAAGGTTGTCAGATCCATCCTAGGTAGTCTGGTGTGGAAAACCGCTCAGACTTGTTGGAGGGGGCGTGGCAGATGGGGGACACCTGGAAAGGCATGTTTAAAAATACCTTCACCATTGCTCCCCAGAGCAGCACTAATTGCTGCATGTTCTAGAGAGGGGGAGCTCAAAAACAATTTGCCGTTTGAAAGAGCAAAGCCAGCACACTGTTTTCTTTCACAAAACATTGAAACTGAAAAGCATCATCCCACAAAAATGATTTGGAACATGCCCTTTGTGCATTAAAAATGCTCTGCATTTCTACTTTCGAGGCACAGAATGGGAAACTAATTTGGAAAGTGTTTAGAAAGATTGTGAATAACTACAAGACATGAGTGAGTCACTTGGTCTTTGGTTACTGGACAGGGGGCGGGGGGGTGGAGAGGAAGTTCTCTTTTCCCAAGATGGTCAACAACAACAACAAAAAATAACAAAATTTTATAAAGTTAGGGAATATAGAACCCCTCAGTTATTGTCAATGAGGGCTATTCCGATGAAGCACACACTTGCAAAAGCAAAACAAAAACCAATATGACAATAACTTCTACCTATTCTGTATCTATAGCATCTGTGACTTTTATTGCTTGGGCAACTCTTATTCTTATATTCTTTAGTCCTGTCTTTTCCAATGTCTGCTGCCTTCACTCCTTTAACTAGAAATGCTACATAATGGACATTTTTTTTCAGAAATTGGGAAAAATGGTTTTCCCCTTCTCTTATCCTTAAAAACCTGAGCAAAACATATAAGATTTCATAGGAGGCTCTGCAGAAAACCCACTTCTGCCCTCTCCCAATGCAAATCCTACTTGACTACAAAAACCATCTCTGAAATGGTCCAGATAGTGTTTCTACAAGAAGTTGTTTCTTACCTCCTCTTCCAAAAGCATCTGAAACTTGGCTCACTCTGAAGACCTTGCGGGAGCCTCATCCAGCCAGCCCCACCCCCAGACACCTGCTACTAGTCTGTTTCCAAGGGGAGAATAAACAGGCTACTGGAAGAGGGGCAGTCAGAGTCCCCTATAAAGAGTGATTTGATCCATCACTTGAGCTGACTAAAGATGAGGTCCTTACAGGTGGTGGCTGGGTCAGAAGGGATCTCCAGCCATGTGATCCTGATGGAACAAGGAGGCGCAGTTTTAGAAACTGCAGCCTTGGATTGGACAAAAGGTAAATTTCCCAAGAGCTAATGTCTAGGTTTCTTGTCCTCTCACCCATGCTCTGCCATCTTCTGTCTGTGACCCTCYACCCTCATCCTCCAGTCCCAGTATGATCCCTTGCAAGAAGGGTTAATCCTGCAAGGATGAAAACTATAGCATCCCAAGGAATTTAGGCTGGACAGCAAGGTTTTGCTATACAGCTTGGGTCAGCAATTAGTTGTTCTCCTGTAGCTGGTAGGAAACAGTGCAAACAAGGATCTCCCTTCTGGACACCATTGGGAAGATGATAAATGACAGAAGTTAAGGATATTCTGGGAGTTTGTGGCTGGAAAATCTCAGAAGAGACAAAGGACTCCAAGACCTACAGCTACTGCTTTCCTCCTTCTAAAAGCCATCTTTGGGTACCCACGACTCAAGCACAGTAAAGAAAGGAAAGAACAGAAGTGGAGATGGGTGAGGAGGAAGATGGTGGTAAGAGAGAGGTGCATGGTCCTTCATACCCCATCCAGGACTAGTTTTGGTGGGCTTCCCCAGGAGAGGAAGGATACGTGGAAGGAGCCCTTTGATCATTAATACCCTAGCCGGTGTCCACTTCCTTTCTAAGTTCTCACCACAGTTAAGAGGTTTTTTTTTTTTTTCTTAACAAGCCATCTGTGAAGGAGGGAAAGTATTTTTTCATTTATGTGACTTGCCGCTTGAGGCACTGATTTTTCTGATAAATTCACAGTCCTTGCCACAAGCCCTGCTCTCCAAATAGGAACCATTTCCAAAACAGCACACACCTGCCAGGGTAGGGGCTGTGCTTTTCTCTCTCTTCCCTCTTTGGGGTAAGAAAGGAACAAAGTGTCCTGAAAGGCCCTTGGGGAAGGGGATGCATATACGAACCATCATTTAATCCGCTGCCACCGCTGCTGCTGTGACCGGCAAAGGCGGTGGCGACTGATGCACAGCAGAGGCAGCACAGCTGGAGCGCCTGCAAGAGAAAAGATGACATCCCGCGTGATGGGCGCGGCGGGGCTGGCGCCCCCTACCCCCCGCTGTCCCTGAGCCCCTCAATGGCACCTGCCTTGGCCAAGCGCCCCAGTCCCGCGGGGCCCCACGGCGGGCCGGACCCTGCGACCCGGAGGGCGCATGCGAGCAGGAGGGCGCACTCCATGGTCAGGTGCGGGCGCGGCGGCTGCAGGCGGCCGGACGTGGCGGGCGGAGCGCACGGGCCGCGCACATTCTCCCCGCGGCGGCCGGGAGCCCCAGGTGCGGCGCCAGGTGGGGGCCGCCGCCGTTCACCTGGCAGGGCGGGCGCGCCGGGGCCTCGCCTCCCCGGGCCGCCCGCGTGCCCTCCCTCCCGGCGGCGTGGGCCGCCTGCGGCACTCCGGGGRTGCCGGGGACTCCCCGGGCCGGGGCTGGAGCGCAAGCGGCTGGGAGACTCTGTCGGTGCCTGCCCGCCCGCCAGCCAGGCTGTGCGTCTGTGTGTCGGTGTGAGCGTCTGAGGCTCGGGGGAAAGCCGCGCCAGCTGGCTCCCCCAGCGCGCCCGCCGGAGCCGAGCGCCCGCCTCTCCACCGCGCGGTGATTGGCGACCAGCGGCTCCCGGGCTCGTCCGAGCCCCCGGGCTGATGCAAGGGCGTGGGATTCCGGGCTCGGGCTCCAGGGAGGGGGCGAAGGGGGCGGGGAGGTTGGGTGGGAGTCGGGGGAGGGAGGGACCAACCGCGAGAACGGGAGCGGCGCGCCCAGGGTCAGGCTCGGTAAACGAAATGGGAGCGCACRGAGAGATGAGCTGAGAAGAAGGGCTCAGGTAAGAGGCGCGACTTCTTTCGTTGTCCCTGCAGACTTGTCATGTACAAGTCTTCCCGCGAGAGTCAAGAGATTCAGGCTTCTCAACATCTCCAAGGTGTCGGAGCTATCCTGGCTCTACCTCCTTTACCAGTGACCCTGTCCTAACAAAGTGGGAATCATTGGCTCCTTGATGAATATAGGAAACTGAGGCCCAGATGGGCTCAAGATAACCCAGCTCACAGGAGTCACGCAGGCAACGCTCAAATCTAGAGCAGCTGGAGGACTAGAATAATGACCCTGTCGCTGTCCGCGTGTGAACACTATTAGCCTGGCCGAGGTGACCTCCTCGTTCTCCAAGTGGCCCAGGTTCCAACTCGGGAGGGCTGAATCTTGGCCCCAGACCCCAAACCTACAGCAATCAGCCATCAGCGTGGCATGCCTCCAGTTGGGCCATGTCAATGTTCAGTCTCAATACACTTATTTGATCCTTTGATCCCCACATTTGCAATGAGGAACGAAACATATTCTCACGAGCCAGTGGAAAAGAACCTCATTGGTAACTCAGCAAGAGAAACGGGAACCTAACTGATCAGAAGAGGATAATGGGCTCCTAATTAGAAAGATAGCGGCAGAATGAAATTTAAATGGGAGCAGGGAGATGAAAGAGAGCCTRTGCAGGTGTATGTGCACATGTTCAAGACGTCTCTTGGGAACTGACCTTGAAAATAAGGCCAAAGGGAAGTAGGAGGTCAGCTTTATGTGGAAGAGGGGGCACAGCATCAGTAAAGTTTAAGTAGGAAAAGCCTTTGCCTTGTGGGAAGGGTGACAGGCCAGAGGGAGGGGCAGATGCTCAGGACCTGGTAGGGTAGGCAGGGAGAGAGCACGTAGGAAATCGCTAGGTTTCGGTAAATGTGTGAGTGTGTGTGTGAGAGAGGCAACATCATTTTTTTTTTAAATAATAAGTGTGGATCTCATTGAGTGTGCAGGTGTAGAGACAGGGCCAAGAGAGAAACAAGTTAAGCCACTGTTACTAGCATCAGGGTGAACAATGACAGGGTCTTGGACCAGATGGTAGCAGGATTGGTAACGTATTACACTGCTATGGGTACCACATAGTTCAAATGAGGTCCATGTCAACTTAGAATAAGTGACAGGTCAACATTCCTAAACCTGGGGTTGTAGACACACTATATCAAAAGAACATAATGAGGATAGAGTATATTTTTCCAAGCACTTTATAAGTAGACTTTAAAAGTAAGAACARAGAGTATTTATTTCTACGACTTCATATATCCTCACCTATGAGCCTGGCTTAAAATGCAGATTCCTGGGCTGTGAGCTATTGAAATTCTCGTTCGTGGGACCCAAATATGCTTTTATAGCAAGCATCTGCAGATGGGTTCTGACACAGGTGACTTAAGTGCTTTATTTCAGTGGAAAACTGGACACTTAAGGAAACTGGACATCAGACATTCAGTACTAGTAGTTGCCAAGCAACAGACRGAACAAGAAAAGGAATCCAGAATCCATAGCACTGTAACTCACACCATTAAGTAAATGCCAAAAGAAACTGGGACAAGGGGTTGAATGGTGTGCCTACACTCAGATGAAAAGAAACATGTCACTCCAATGAGATGCATTTGCAGGAAATTTTCCTGGTCTTTATCTTCTGTGACTGGTGATACAAGGTCCTCATGAGGATCAGCGCTAGAGTCCCAGAAAACATCTCTTTCCTATATGTTTTACTGGATTATGGGGTTTCTCAACCTCAGCACTATTGACACTGGGGCTGGATAATTCTTTGTGGTGGGATCTGTCCTATGCATTATAAAAAGGGGCGTTTAGCATCTCTGGCCTCTACCCCTTAGATGCCAGCAGCACCCCCCCCCCAAACACACACACAATTGTKACAGAATAGGATATTTTTGACACATTCCCTTGGGCATCAGGATTGCCCCAGAGATAACCTAGATGAAGAGTGCAGATCTCGATCCTATTCTGTGACCCTTCTCCATCAACAGGGAGCCTCAGAGCCTCTTATTTAACTGGACACATTTTGTTGAATGTCCACCCTTTGAGAGGCTATTGGCCACCTCCTGGACCTAATGTAAGTGGTTTGTTCTCCACTGATCTTTCAGATCTTTTCCCATACCCAAAATAAAACTTTACTCCCCATAAATCCCAATCCTCCATAGTTTGGCACAGAAACAAAGACTCATTTCTTATATAGTCACAGATCTAATTACCAAGCTTCCAATTCTACTCATTTGGTGATGACAAGACAAGGTCTGATCCCATCTGTAGGACTGATACACAAACACTTGCAAAACCATAATTTCTGAATGATACATTCAATTTTCCAGGAACTGGCCCTGCAATATATATAAATTGTCTCTAGATGGTGACAGAGAGTCATGAGCATATGGTCCAGCCTTAAGACTGAATTACAAAGTAGCAGTCTCTTCAAAGTCACTTGGAAATAGAAGTCTCAGTCTACTTCAAAAGGACAAATTCAAGACACAATAACTATCTAAAGTACACAGCAAACCCATGGGGAGGGAAGATCACTGATATCCTGTATTCTTTTGGCCCAGAACATGACACACAGTAGGCATTCATAAAGGAAGCAAGGAAGGGAGGGAAGAAAATTTTGAGATAGAGAAAAAGTTTTAAAGTTTCTCCCTGATTTTTGTTTAAATCAATGGTACCATTGGCATTGGTTTTCCCTTCATTTTCTAGTGACATAAGTTTAACTTTTTTAAAATAAAGCAATATATCTTTAGTAATATACCACCTTCTGACCAAAAATAATGGTGGCAAAGGGCGATTTGCCTTCTCAACATTCCTATTCCCCTTCTTCTGATTGAATCTAAGATGGAGGCATGTCCAAGGACGGAATAACACTTTTCCCTTTGTCCCTAACCTGTGAAAAGAGAAGGTGAGAAGAATTAACCACTTCTCCCACCACAGTTGACCTACTGTGCTATAACCAGTTCCTTATTTTCTCCTCCTTTTTAAGCTGAGTGTGGGGGGACAGTGTCCTCAAAGCTGCATCAAATAGTTTGTTGGGTTCATAGGACAGGATTTTTAGCAGCTTTCTATAGAAAATATTCTCACATCTAGAGAGAAAGACCCCCCAAATCATGCATCTAAACCTAGAAGAGCACCCCAAAGGGAAAATAAAGATATGGAAATGGATTTACCTTCTCAAAGACCTGGGAAGATAAGGGCTGCTTTCTGCTCAGTGTCTCAGCAATGAGACACAAGGAACAAGGTCGTCCTCAGAATCGGTAGAGAGTAGGAGAGAGAGGAGGCAGAAGATCACAGAGCAGCAGGTCCTGATTTCTAGGTTCCTTAAAGAAAATCATCCAGAAGGACAAAGAGCTCACCACGCAAAATAAAGAATGAAATTCAAGCAAGTGACAGGAGATGATCTTTTTCTCAAATTTTTCTACCAGTAATAGCAACAGGAGGTATTGGAACCTCATAGTTTAACCACACATTTACAACTGGTCATTGAGACATTCTCTCCTTTTCTCCCTGAATTGTACCATCAGATCTCGAAGGGGTTGGGTTTCCTCATCTCAGCTTTCCCCTGTGGATCGGACTCCTTGCCTCCCCATGTCTATTTTTAGCCCTTTCCCAAGCCCTACTATTAAAAGTGGCTTGTGTGCCAGAGGCTGAAGATGTAGTATTAAGACTAGACTACTCATTTCCACACATGAACTCACGGCCAAGTTCTGAGCCCTCTGTATGGTGGAAGAGTGGAATATATACTTTGCAAAAGGTCTGGAAAATATCAGGCTGCCTACAMAAGACAAATAACTTTTGTTTTCAAGAACTGTCCCCCGCTTCTCCACGCTACAGTCCCATCATGCACAGGTTTAGGGACAAGCTCTCCCTCAGCCTCAGGCCTGGGGCAGCCAGGACTGGGAACTACTGTTAATCAGAATCACCTGGAAAACTGTTAGAAGTACACATTCTTGGCCTCCCCAGGGACATTCCAATTAAGGGGTGTTTCCGATGTAACTGAATGTATTACAAAATGATAATTGTGACCTTCAGTACTTCCTCTTCCTCTGGGTGCCAGCACAACTTCCTAGCCAATAGGATTGAGGCTTCTAGGATCCTTCGGTGCCATTTTTGATTCATAAAGGAGGCCAGGTAGAGCAGAAAGAAGAAAAAAACAACCGTACAACAAGCCGGACCCTTGCTATGGCACTGAGGGCTGAGTGGGAAGAACTGATATTTGTTGCTTGGTGTGGTTTTTAAGGCGGCAAAGGGTGATTTGCCTGCTCAACTTTCCTATTCCTCTTCTTTGGATTGAATCTACAATGGAGGCATGTCCAAGGACGGAATAACACTTTCATGATGGCAAAAATGATT